TCTCGTCGATTGGCCATAGCTTGCTTCTGTGCCTCATCTTCAGTTGAGTCAACGAGTTAAGAATTCTGTATATTACACTCAAGAGAAATTAATTCAGTCCAACTCATTATTGAGCTACAACTACTTATATACCCACTTGTCGGTAATCTCAAAGTCAATTATCATGATGAACTTTATGTTAATAGATAAAGCAATGGGGACACAAAGGTCAAAAGACTTAAAAGCACCATACAAACGAAAAATCACAAATAAAGTAAAAAGCCCAAATATCCATCCTAACTAGCACTATAGTGGTTACTACTATAATAACCTAAATAATTAATAATTAATATAATAAAATATAAAAATTCTCCATATCTTGATCAAGTTTAATTTTGAGTAAACTAGTACAAGTAACAAATACATGCTCTTCATACTCAATATGACCATCGTCATACAATTTACAAATATGTTCACTCCTATCAATATTAAGCCACCATACTCTCTCAATTCCAAACCTATGAGATCTAATTCTATGTGTGACGATAAGATGAAGTAATGATATAGAGATTACTTCAAGTAGTTATTACTGTTCACAATACACAAGCAGAGTATTCACATGAAATTGATAAAATTGCATTTTAGTGCCTCATTTACTTTAAAATAATGTTCAGAAATCCCTCCTGTAGACGTTCGCGGAGTGCCATAGTTAAGTTTCGTCACATCCCACCACAACACTAAGCTTCTAAATGAAATATTTCTAAGACTTTAAAACACTAGATGAAACTTTCTACATTGATTTAACAATAAATATATGGTTTTGTAACCACCTTCTATTATCTTTTGCACGCAAAGTGATTATTAAAAAAAAATCTAACTATAATTATTAAAAAAAATCAATGAATAGATATTTATAACTTTTCATATTTTCTAATTGTAGATCATTATAATAGAAGTAGAATTTAGATCTAGTGATCACTATCATATTTTTAAACTTGAACATATTTAACTCTGACTGATTTGGATACAAACCTGTTTCTGTAAATTAATGACATCACACGGTAGTAAAGTGATATAATCTGAATACAAGAGAGGTTTGATAACAAAGTTTCCAAATTTAACACCATCACTATTATCATATACACTTGTTCTTTGTGTATAATTTATATCTCAAACTTGAGCTTAATGTCCAACCCCAAAAATACTTGAGGTGGTTGATGACTACAACACTTCTTTGATATGCTCATGGAATCAAAGAACTATTGTATATGGGATTACAATAGCACTTTGACTTTGCAGAAGATAATTCTTAATTCATCTCAATCGAGAAGTCAGAAAATACCACGATTGAGGTTGAAGATAGGACTCAAGAAGAGTTAGTTGTTTCTGAAATAGCTCTAGAACTCGAAGCTCAAGAACCAGGTTCTTTACCTTTGCACTCTTAAACTCATGAGAAAAAAATTAAAAGTTTTGCACTCAAATAACATTGAGAGCGATTTTGAATGAGGTTAATAGGAGAGGATAGAGAGCCATCAACCTTTACATGAGGTCACACAAAACATGAAATTAGCCATGTGCATGCTAGAATGCGGTAGAATTGGACGTCTCACACAAGAACAATATTTTGTATATTGGTTTGCAACCACAAGGAGGGAAGTTCGATGCTAACAAATGGGTTACTAAGTGAAACAAGATGGGAATAACAAAGTAAAGCAGTATCAAGATACATCGGTTTTAGAGAGAGATATGCTCATGCAGAAGCAAGCAGTTAGCTTTATTGAGATGTGTTGTGAAAAATGTTCGACTTACAACGGTAGCACCAAGAAGTGCTATTGACATTACTGCTGAGTTTTTATCTGTTTTTTTTTTTATTATCGATTCTGAAGACCTATGGAATCGAGAACTGATGTGACGTATTACAAGATACATGAACCCCCTTGTGTGAACTTTGTATAAGATGAGTTTCAAGCTTTTGTGCTATCAAATCAATTTGAGATTATACTTGGTAAAATTGGTTTTGATCTTCTTTCACCTCTGTCCATCCGAAACTTCCAAGTTTTGGGCCAATTGAGCAGGGTAGGAGCACTTGACGACCAATTCTGCGCCTTTGTCCGGCGTCCACCTCAAGGCAGTCCGCATCTCCCAACAAAAATTGTCAACTGCGAATACTATTATGTTACTGTGTCAACAGTACCACGGTATTGCTCTGTCCTCGTACCACGAATGTACTTTTATGCTCCAATACGAGACAGAGCCGATATGAAGGGAACATTCTTCAGGTTAATCGCTCCGCTCCATCGACAGAAAGTGCACTCTCAAATTTTGCTTTCGAGCACTCATCAAGCATTTGGAGGCATGCAGTATCTCACCTGACGAGCAGCTTTCCAATGCTTCACGGCATTTCAATCACTTCATGCTAGGTTCAACCGCGAGAGTGGTGAGGGGCTCCTATCGCAGAATAGGCGACTACCACAGTGCTATATTTCGAATGAGTGTCAAGGAGCTTTTGGTAGATCTCCAGGGGTCGATTTCGAGCGTGGAAATGTGCACGGGAGGACAATTATTTCAATCCAAGTGCTTAAATAAAGACCCGATTCTCGAGAAGCATTTAATTAGCATTAGCTTGCAAGCTATGAATAGAACAAGCTGAGCTACGATGACCTGAAGCCAGCAGGCTGACTCACGATGTCAAATGTCACTCATTTGATTCACTAGGTACCTGATTTACAGCGGGAATTATCTTTGCATCGCCTGTTATCCATCATGACTGCATAGAGAAGAAATTGCTGACTCCCATGGCTTTTTTCATATCAACCTCCATGCATTTCTCAAGCGTCCGTCAAACATTCACCAGGTCCAGGGACAAAAATAAACCCTCGTGAAATCGACCACCCTTTTGATGCATACGCCTGAGACTTCAAGGGAAATGAATCAAGTACAAATCCACATACTCTAGTCGCAAATTAGCGTTGCCACAAGGAAAAGAAAGCGTTCATCTTAAGAATTCGAAGTACAGAACCACGCGGCTGACATCGAGTTCTATGATGGATCACCGCAATGAGAGCTCGGGATAAGTTGACATCACAAGAGAAGCCAATCTCTATCGTATCAAAGCAGTTCATAATCATTTGGTGGATGGCACAACTCCGAAGGAATAACTCATCTTACGCACTGCTCAGAACTCCGATTCCCTGCCTGATATATATCCAAAATTGAATTTCAGGCTAGCAACACCTAATGAGATACTTGAGAAGCTGTATCCAGGACCTGGCCCCAAGAGTTTCCTTCATTCTGGAGAGAAAGTTCCAGCAGTACAGTGAACTTTATTATAATGATCTTTAAATAAGAAACCTCCAAGATATGAACATTTAACTCGCTGTTTGAGAGTCGTGTCTTGAGTTGATGAACACTATACACCACCTGAGACTCTTTCCAAGCGCAGGAATGACGTCAACTGCAGGGTGTGCACTGTACTAAGTTTGGTTATGATAAACAAATCGTCTCGCTTGTATGCTTCTGAGTTCGGGATATCCTCGAGAGCATCTCCTATCGTGGGCTCGGTTCTGTAAAGAGTGGCAGTCTCAAAATGCCTATAGCCAGTCTGCACATTTCACCACGTTTTAATCATTCTTTCAGTCTTAAGATCCCAAGGGAATCATAGGTAAATATTTTCACTAGTAGGTTGTATACATTAATATATATCACAATTAGCCATCTCCTAATAGCATGTTGATTATTAATGCCTGTAGATTGTTTTCCTCGTGCAAAGAAGAATCAGATCAGTCGAATAAGTTCGATTCTCAAGTTCTCCCTCTGACAGCGAGCCAAATCCCTGCTACGGGTGCCAACAGGAACTGGCGTGACTGCGACTACTCGTCGAAAACGAAGCCAGCGTCTCTGCCTCTCGTTCGGTCGTAGAATAATTCCAATGGAAGATCTCCCCTCCGGAATCATCTGCAACGTTTCGAGCCTTATATAATTTTTCCATTGTTAGCAGAATTGAGGCCTACGAATTGCAGTATTCGTATTAGCTGTGAACAGCAAAATTTTCCTGTCAGGGATCGGGATGTACTATATTTCGAATTCGTTGGAACGAAGGTTTAGAGTCTGCGAGTGCGAATCATGAGGTTTGATTTTTTCCCTCGTATGAGATGTCAGGCGCATCGTTTAGACATCACGATTCCAACCATACGTCCTTAAATCATCTACCTCTGCGCGTCCTGCTTTCGCTTTTGCCTGCATCCACACCCCCACCCACACCCGGGTGGAGAAACGCAATCACGATTCTTCTCCCGGCGTCGAGAGTCGTGAGTGCCCCAGATGCACCAGACTCTGATCCCCGACTTTTCTCTCCACTTTTCTCTTACAGATCTTCCAGTGTTGAAGGATGACATCCGAATCAGAATCTCTAGTCCAACCCGCAGTTCCATGAAGAGTCCTGCACCTGTCGAAGTCCCTTTAATCTCTTGGCTCGGAAAGCTTCATTCTGCAAATAATGCGAAAGAAGGGAGATATTTATATATCCACACACGCGCGTCAATCTTCGGATGGGTGGAGAGAGTCGATTAGGCCACGTGGGATAGTGAGCAGTTCCTCCGTGCTATGATTATAAAAGATTTTTCATAACTATTGACAAATAAAGTATGAAGACTGCAAGAAAATTTGAGAGATATTTCTTGATCCCAAGTGTTTTCCAATTCCCACATTATCCTTGAAATTTTCCCCGTCCTTGAGAATTGTCCATACGAGGTAAAACTCTTTGCTACAGAGTTGCATATTTTCCCACGGGGATCGATAGCTCTCACAGACTTCACACCAGAATCCATGCCAAACACAAACGAGGTCAATAAACAGAACAAAGATGTAGAGGTAGAGTTGAACGACAAACAAGAGGTATGTGTAGACTATCAGCATGCTAATTTTCATTCCATGAGGAAGAAAGAACGAGAAATAATGAGAAGTGAAGGAAGTAGCGATCCATGTAAATCACCCAATAGCATCATTCGAAGGACTTCGGATAAATAAATTGAACTGTAAACCAAAGAAGTGAGCAGATCCAGATTCACTTATATTGCAAACGAGGTCTTTAGAGCAACATGAGACGACAGAAACCAACCTCGAACGAGAAATCTTCAGTCGAGAAGCTCTTCACATGTTCGATCGGTTTCTTTACTAGCGTCTTGCATGTAACATTCGACCTGGAGCTCCTTACTAAGGCTCACATCCACAGTGGTAGCTTGCTGGAGTTTCGGACTTCTCTCAGTACAAAACGCCGCTTTATGATTCAGATTGAAAAAATGAGTCATCTGCGAGCTGCACTCCTTCAGAAGAAAACCCACAATAGTCTGCATATTTACCAGTTGAACACTCTTCATGATCCTGTTTTCTTGTTCAATCCGACCAGCAATCGTAGATTTCCTGGTGTGACCTGTAAGGACTTGTAGTTTGATTGATCCAAATCTTCCCATCTTGTAATCTGAATCGAGGCATGGTGGCGATTTTTTTATGGTCTTCTTCATCTAAATTCCAACCGAAGACGTTCAAGTTTTGCGCCATTCTGGAAGGATTTGAGCTCTTGACCACAACACCTACACCGTGATCCAAACTCCACCTCAACGCGACCTGCATCATCGAACAAAACCACGTGAGGGCAGGTTTAAAGTTTTGAAAGAAGAGTAAACCATTATACGCTCATTTTCATAAGATTTCGATTGCTCTAGGAACGTGGGAATTACATCTCAAAACAAAAGAGTGTTATTCATTCAAAGTGTTCAGACCTTAACACGTTCAGGGATACAACACACAGCCAAATTAACAGATGTCATTTTGTCGCTTTATGTAAGATTATTTTGAAATAGATGTCAATAACAACAATGCAAATTATAAAGATATGGATCGAAAGACTCTCACAGGTTGCTCTTGGGCTATTCAGCTCACAGTATCCTTTGCCAACGTGTTAACACGTGAAGAATTTGCGAATTACCAGTTTATCAGTGCTTGGTTGGTAGTCTTGCTAATCACATCCAACTCTCTCTTCCTGAATCTTTACATTTTAGCTTAACGTAGTCTTCTACTTTTTAGTTTTCAGGCAGGTCATCGATTTCGTACAACTCTTCTGCGGCGAGGAAAATTGATTCTGTTGCCAATCAACTGTTCTGTAGGTTACAAGCTCTGAAGAAGAAAAATTTCATTCAAGGACAATCTTTTCAATATCACAGCGTTAGTCATCAGGCAATGGGTACCGATACTGAATGGCAGTGACAGTCACAGCGCTATTGGATCTTATGAAGGCATGGGCGGGAATTGTGAACTTACCTGAGCGACTGATTTTCCATGCTTCTCAGCAATTTCTTTGAGGATGGGGCTGTCGATGACTGCGATCGAGGTGAATTCCTGAGAGTGCTTAGGCCTCCCTAGAGCAGCAAATCCCATGACCTTGATACCCATTTGTTTGCAAACGTCAAGAAGCCTCGGCTGTAGGCATCCTGGGTGCATCTCCACCTGGCAATGCAGAGAAAGAATATCCTCTTAAAAACCTTATGAATGAGCTCTTGCACAAGTTCCAAGCCATAAAATCCTAGAATGTGCTCGAACAGACCACCCTCTGCTTGCAACATCTCATAGTGAGAACCAACTTCAATCGTCTCATGAATAACCAGAATTATCGAAAGCCAAATCACACGCCTCTGCATTTAGGCAAGTTGGTATCTGAGTACCTGATTCACAGCGGGGATTATCTTTGCATCGGCTGTTATCACCCCAAGCAAATTGGAACCAAAATTGCTGACTCCGATCGCCCTGGTCAATCCCAGTTCCACGCACTGCTCCAGCTCCTTCCATACACCGACCAGATCAAGGGGCAAAAACGCATCTTCCGGGATTGTTGCTCTTGCCCCAGAAGGTTTCATTCCAGGCTTGATCCTTATTGGAAAGTGGATGAGGTACAGATCCACATACTCTATCCGCAAATTACTGTATCCACAACGGTAGTCAGGGAGAAATAACTCAGAATTTTACGAAATCACTCAAATAGTCCAGAAGGAAATTTCTTAATCGACGCATGAGTTTGATTTCGCGAAAAGCTTTTGACCTTTTTCTGGCTGGTGAAAATTAGTTTCTGTGGTTGATTGACATTCCACTTTACCTAAGGCTTTCTCGGAGAGAAGGAATCACGTCATCTGCGTGAGTTTGTTCAGGACTTAGCTTTGTTGTGATGAAAAACTCTTCTCGTTTGATTGTGCCAGAGTTTAGGACATCCTCTAGAACCTCGCCCATCATGGGCTCAGTTTTATACGCAGAGGCAGTGTCAAAATGTCTGTACCCAATCTGCGTGGTTATAACAATTGAATCACAACTGGCCCTTCGCTTGTGTGTCAATCTGTCAACACAAATAAGTCCAGGGAAAGAGCACAAGTTGACTACAAGAAATCATCTCTATAAGCATAACCTGTTGCGAAATTCATGTATAAAGTGAACGTAACCTCTGTAGTTGCATTCTGAGTGACATAATGATTCAGAGCAGAGCATTGAAAAGATGTCTGATGCTGATTCCCTTGCACATGTTTGCTTCACCTCCTTCTAGTGGGTGTCTTTCAAGATGCAATCTTGGACCTGATTCTGAATATAGCTAGATGGTTTGAAGGCCTACCTCAAGAGCCTTCCGGAAGTAAGCCTTGACTTCCTCCGGAGTTTCTTCTCTCGCTGACATGCCCAAAGCAATTGCTGGCATCAGCGCCCCGGTGTTGAGCTTCAAGCTCTGGTCTTCAAAGAGATTTGTCATCCTAGAGAATCTGAGGAAACTCGATATCAATCGAGAACGAATCGCAGCAGTGGGTAAGTGCCACTTCACATGTATTTATAGCGATTAATGCTTCGGCTTCTGCGATATGATACATATGCGTTCAATACTTATGCAGCAATATCATTCAGGGCCAGCAGAAATTTGTATCCTCGTCCATGCTTCAACCTCTCCCACTTACCAGCAACGGAGCGATCGATGTAGGCGGAGCTCAGCAAGAATAATACAGCGTCACTATTTTCAGAGCACTGAGAATAGCGATGAAACCCAAAAATTGTTTATGCCATCCTCACACCTACAACAGAGTCGAAACAGTTCTCAAACTTTGACCGACGAGCCTCTTTGACTCGAAGATTCTACTATTTATTTGCAAGTCTCTCTAAGTTAGAAGTAGTGACAAACATTAAAGAAGCAGCCATTGCATGTGCCCTGTGTCTTGGCACATAGGCAGGTGGCATGACATCAACCTGGCTCAAAAAAGTGACGAAATCACAGCTCTGAGATTGCCTGTTGACTTCCATGTCTTACCTCTATAACCTCTTTACACGACACTGTTCTGATCGTCTGTTGCAGCACGAGTTTCTCCTTCGTAATTGAGAGTTCTTATGTAAAATTTGATTCAAACCGAGCCCACTCAAATCCACAGCCAATATCAGAAGGTACTCAAGGGCGGAATGACCGACGAGAAACAGGCTTTGCAAAGTGCAAGCAGCAAATGATGTTGAAAGTTGCTGCTGTCAAGTTCCTGCGCAGTGTTCGTCGACGAAATGAGCGACACTCATCAGGTTGTTGTCAGATCGTACAAACAAAAACACGTTTCACTAAAATCATAAACAGATGTACTGTACTTTGACTGGCCCAGCAGCCCACAAACTTAAGCAGTCCACGCCGCTCGATTTCGATAACATAATCCCTTATATCATCATAGTTACGAACAGATAATCACAATACATAGTCATATACCAACAGAAATGCAGTGGGTGCTAGATCACTTTCTTAACACCTAAGCATTTTATTCCGAAAAATACGTGTCACGTGGGAATATAGAATGTTGAAGTCTAGTGCTAGAATACACTCTATCTAAATGAGTCTTTTCTATCTGTATTCTGTATATATCAAACTATTTTGATTACTAATTATAATACCACCATCAATGTTAAAGTTGACATTGGACGAAAGGTACAAACCTAATTTAGAGCAAAATTTTGCCAATATTCTTACTATTCTACAAACCCACCATTATTACAATCAAAACCTGAAGTAGAAACTACAGATGGTAAATGGTAAACAGAAATAAGAGGACATTAATTAAATGCTAGTGCATGTCTGTGTGCCACGAACTACGTAACTTGTGGTTTTTTCAAGTTATATTTATACTTACATTGATAACATTTGCGTTGATGATCTCTTGACTTCTCATTCCTTTGAATAACTTGAAGATAATATGTGGTCTAGAATTTGTTCTTATACTTCTACAAATCTTTTGATATAACACTTTCTAACTTTTGGAGACACATGTACTTTAAAAATTCTCAACAGTATCTTTCTTTTTTCCAATTCCCTTTCCAATAAGTGTTTTGCTTCTACCGATGTTAGCATTATTGATTATCTTATATCCTCGGCCACTACTAACTCTCTTATCTCAAAATTTGATATTCTATAATCTTAGCTTGAATCAAATCATGCACATCTCTTATTTACTCTCCTGTTGTCAAAAACAATCCCCTTCTCTCCATGCTATTCTATTTTAGCTTCCCACGAGTTTTGTTCAAATCCTAGTAAAAAATATCTTTACCACTTACATTTACAAGAACTTTTGATTCACACTTCATAGAGCCTTGATCCATATACAACGAGTGGACAATTAACACAATTGCTCAAAAACATTGCTTTTAAAATGTTTTTCTGGCACAAGGATCAGAGAGCTAAGGATCTTCTTTGCAACGGATGGTTTGATTTTGATTGCAAGCAAGCAAGGATGAGATTAGTTGACAAGTCTTTGAATCTCCAAAGTCGGCTTATCTTGACAAGGTTTAACAAAGACTTGATGAAATCTAAGAACCGAGCTTTTTTGAGGAAACAGCAAGAATCCTTGATAAAGTAGTTGATAAAAAATACCAAATCTTTTTGGAGACGGTTAGCATTACAGTCTTCTAAACTTACTCTTGATATCAAGAGCTTCATTGTCTTTGCTGAAAAGTTTTATTTCTTTCACGACGCTGCAGCAATGTCTTGTTGTGAAAGAATTCCTAACTTATTTTCTTAATCAAAGATGATAAATGACTCAAGTCAAAAAATTAACATACGGTAAATCAAAGTATTTGGATGATATCTCTTTGAACTTTTTAAGTGGAAAATAGATGTTATTGGACCAATATTCATTAAATTGTTAGAGAATGCTACTATGTATGGTTTTACTTAAACTTGGTTTTTACAAAAGATTGTTCTTATTCATAAGTCAGGAAAGAATGACTTGGTGACAAAGAATCGCACTATCATGGTGAATAGTTGTTTGGCAAATTGGTGGAGTCAAAGTTGAGTACATGGACTGAATCTCATTGAAAGAAAGCGCTATTTCAAGTAGATTTTTTGCTTTACATACAACACCATTGATCATATCTTGGCCTTGCGTGTTTTAGGGAATAAGTCTAAGGTCAATGAAAAAGCTTTGTTTTGCGTCTTCATCGATTTTTAAAAAAACTTTTCTTATTGTATCTTCTGAGTTTTTATGGGAAAGGTTTTTGAGTACCATTGGAGTGATTCAAGGTTGTACTCTCTCTACTATTCTATTTGGAGTTTTTACAGATGATATCAAATAGTGGTTGGAAGCATGTGATAGTGATCTTATCAAGATTAGAAACTTTGTTATCAAAGCTCTCTTGCATGCAAATGATATCATATTACTAACACGTGATGCAATTACTTTACAGAAACACTTTGGCTAGTGTTTATATCCAAAATGAGATGGAGATCAATATGGAGAAATCTAAAGTCATGATAATGATCACTAGATCCAAGTTCTTCTTCTATTGAAAGTAAACACAATTAGAAAACATGAAAAGTTATAATATTTCTAGGCATTGATTTTTCTTATGATTATAGTTGAACACTTTGCTTGCAAAGAAGAGTTGGTTACAAAAATCTATATTCATTATTAAATCATTGTAGAAATTTCATCTAGTGTTTTGAAGTGTTAGGAAATTTTTATTCAGAAGTTTAGTGTTGCATGTAGTTTTATATGGAAACCAAGTGTGGAGCTTTTGTTGTAAAAAGACATGTTGGAAGCGTGTGGAGAGGATGCAGAAGATATTTCTACGAGAAGAAATGGGTGTGAAAAACCAAACTTCATATGTTATTCTTCTTGCTGAAACAAGTTGTTTACCTCTAGAGTCTAAAGCTCTATATTTGACCATCACTTACACTAGAAGTATGTCTCTTGATGCTTTTCACCTTACTCTTTAAGTTTTGCGTGCCACACGTGTCAAATAGTTAGTTAGCAGTTAGCGGTCAAATAACATGGTTAGCGGATGTGATAACTTGGTCTTTGAGGTGGAATTTGGCGCAATGGTATTGGAATCCGCAACCTATGGCACTACGCGAACATCCAAATGAGTAGTTTTAGAACATAAATTGTAACAAGCTCGACATTAAGATGTAGTTTTATCAACTTCATGAGAATTATATCTTGTTTATTGTGAACATGAATATCTACTTGCAAGAATCTTTACGTCATATTATTGCTATGCATAGAATTGGATCTCATTGGTTTGGAATTGAGAAATTACGTTGGCTTAATATGGATAAGAGTGAACGTATTTATAGATTATGTGACAATGGGTACATTGAAGATGAGCATGTATTTACCAAGTGTTTTAGGTAAGAAGACATTAACTTTCTCACAATGTAGATGTGGATAATTTCTATATTTTAATAGAGTTTTTTTTTTATTTAGGTTGTTATATTACGGACCTTACTAATGACAGTTCTAGTTAAGGATTGATCTTTTCAATTATTTTTTTATTATCATTTATATTTTATTTTTCAACCTTTTGATCTTTAGGGTACCCCATCTTGGTATGTTACCACATACCATTTATAACATGTTATAGGTTACAATACAATATAATTACGAATTTATTATAGAAAAAATATTATATTATACTTTAATTACATAGTAATAAATTTTTTTTGTATATTTACGTATGTAAATAAATATAATTTCACATGATATGCGAGTTACTGATCGTAACTCACAGTAGTTGAACTCTCACGACACGGTATAATTCACTTAGAGAACTCAATAACTTTTTTGTATGTTTGATTTTAATATACATTAAAGTGCACTTGTCTAATGCAACGAATGGCATGCACTCACTATTTTGACTTTTCCATAATTCATGACAACAGACATTGATAGGGATCTCATGATGGAGGACTCAGAATAGAGCGGGAAGAAGGACGTGTCATGATACTCGGGTCGCGGACCCAAATGTTAATTTTAATCCTGGTGATATATTTACGGTGCAGATCCCTACCTATGGACCACTACACTAGTTGGGCGAAATTGCAGGACATTCTTTTACATTAAATACAATCACAGGAATCTCGAAGGTGCTGTAAGGAAAATTGTTTTCTCGATGTAACAAACGAGACAAGTTTCGAGATTGAACTCTATGGAACTCAGTAGCGATGCCATTATACCCACCTGGTGAATACTTTTTTCCTTGAGACCCGTAACCCGCGTTCCAGAGGAGCAAGCATCAAGACAGCAGTCAGTCAGGGTATGCTTTAGAGTTGCTGGTGGAACAGAGTTTGACGATTTTACCTGTTTCAGAGTATTCTGAACAGTCATTCTCGATCAACCCTCCATCTCTGCAATTCTGATTAATTTTTATTGTTGTCCTACCCAGCAAGTTAATAATACTCCCCCGCAACTGTAGCCGGACAGGATACTTCATAATTCCCTGGGAGACCTGAAAAGCAATCTAGTAGGCGCTCATGCTATGGGAGCATTGTGTAGGATTTGTAGAAGATGAGAACAACCGAGTAGTTTAATCTTGAAAGTTTCGTTCGCACGCATGCACGTGGGTTAGACTAATGAATCACGAAAAGCATATATCGATATCAGAGTTCAACGTGGGAATCAGATGCATTGAAGAAGCCAAAGGAGTATTAAATATAGAAGTGAACTTATGATTTACTCGAAATGCGTGTTCAAAAAGAAGAAAAAGACTAGTAGACTTTGAAATCGAGGCATTTTCTGTGGGTTATATTTCTTAGTTACTGTACAACAACAAAGATCAAAAGTATGCATGCCAGCATCTTCAATTTCTTTCCGTGGAATGAAATCAGATCTAGTATATTAAATAATTATAATTCCAACTTACAATTATTTAGTATATTAGATTTGATTTTATTCCACTGAAAACAAATTTTGAAAAAAACAATCATACTGTGCAACTTCTAGATAACTTGCACTAAGAGTCAATGTAACCGATTATGCACTAAGAGTCAATGGTAGTATGAAAGTAATTGCAAGATACTTTTGTGAGAAAACAGATCCTACCAAACCATCAAACATGTGAACGCAAGAATTGAGTAACAATCTCAACATTTCAATAAAGTCTATAAGTACACCAATTTACACATGCAGACTATAATAATTTACCAGAATTCTGGTACTAATGATGAAAATATACAACGAAGTAACCAAATAACATGGAAATAAATCAAGAAGAAAATAGTCTGGAATGTTCCTTGAGATCATATCTGTATGTAATCTTTTTAGTATTATTACATATTTATTTCCAATCTTTTGCTGCATTCCAACCTGATCGAGGGACCACTGTACACATCAAAGAAACAAATAAGCACATTAGGATCAAAGAGCGACTCAAATCCCACGCAATTCAGTACAATACTTTAGAACTGCGAAAAATTGAGAACATGATGCACCCGCTCCTTTGGAAAGTTCAAATGCGAGCCAAATCTTGCAAAGTGTACTTATGTGCAGAACAAGCAAGATAAGATGAGAAGAACTACCTATAACATGCAGGAAAGTAACCTGGCTTACAAGGACAGAAATCAGTAGCACCTCGTAGAGCTGTATAGTAATTGGATTCAGATGTGAGATGACTTCAGACAATACGTCTCGCCTCCTGCACTTCTTAGACTCGGAGTGTGCACGTGGACAAATTCAGACAATAATATAGACTTGTACCTTAAATAAATCGATCCTACAACCTGACCTTTCCCAACAATCGAATCTCCATTTAAACTTGAAGGGCGGGAAGCAAATTATTTAAAACTAATTAATTTGATGTTCATATATTGATATCGTATGAATATCATTATCCGCGCGAGGATAATGATACTCATACCATAATATGTTCAAATTTGGATTAAATATTTTCAAAAATGAAGATCCTTTGTCTTCTCGTAGCCACAAAAGACCTCCCTATCGACATAGATCAACGTATCATTATGACAACACTGTGAGATGACGCTTCATTCAACTATGTAGTTCAATGTTCACACATTCTTCGGATACCGTGATCTTCGGTATCCGAAGAATACCGTGATCTGCTCATCAGTGAAACCATTGATTCACTGCTCGGCTTTCAACCGATTCTGATTTTGAGTTGCAGAAGAGATGGGCGAGACAAATATGGAGGCACTTATTGCCGTATTCAAGAGCTGGTTTGTGTATACTGTTGCAGCAGTCGGCTTACTGTACGTCGTTCTTAAGGTTTTCAGCACAGTTAGACATAAGTCCGGGAGACGACCTCCTGGACCTCCATCTTTGCCATTGATTGGCCACCTCCATCACCTTGTATCTGGGTTTTCTCACCAAACGCTAGTCAGAATCGCTGAAAAATATGCACCCATAATGTGGCTCGACCTGGGACCTGTGGATGTTGTGGTTGTGTCTTCCTCGGATATGGCCAGGGAGATTCTGAAAACTCAAGATCACATATTTGCCTCCCGCCCTCCAACCTTAGTTGGAGATTTGGTTTTTGGGAAAGGTCAGGATCTGGTTTTTAGTCCTTTGAATGACAACGCTCGTCTAGTCCGGAAAGTGTTTACCACACGATTACTTTCGCAAAAACGGATCGATTTATTTAAGGTACAAGTCTAAATTGTTATGTATGAGTCTGTCCACATGCACCATCTCTTTTGAACACACTATTGACTCCTAAGTACAGGAAAGATGTATTGACTAACGTAATGTGACATCTGAGTCCAATTACTATAAACTGCTGAAGAAATTGCTATACGAAGGATATGGATTTCTGTCCTTGTAAGCCAGAACGAATATTTGGTCTAACGTTCTGCATGTTACAGCTAGTTCTTCTCATATTGTCTTGCTTGTTCTGCGCTCATGCGCAGAACAAGCAAGAGTTTAGGGGTTTATATACATACATACTGCACACTGCATATACACACTGCAAGATTTGGCTCACATTTCAACTTTGCAGAACAGCTGGTGCATGATGTTGTCAGTTTTTCGCACTGCATGTTACAGGTAGTTCTTCTCATCTTGTCTTGCTTGTTCTGCGCATGAGAACACACTGGAAATTTGGCTCACATTTGAACTTTGCAAAAGAGCTGGTGCATGATGTTGTCAGTTTTTCGCACTGCTAACGTATTTTACTGAATTGTGTAAGATTTGAGGCGATAGTCGCTCTTGAAAACGATGGGGATAGCATTCGAGGAGGGTCATGCGAATCGTTACATAAATGTTGCTGATATAATGCACGAACTGTTTATGTCCATTTCGACCGGAATGATGTTTCGAAGGGGTGTAGGTGCTCACAATCAGGACCTTATCAAAGTCATCAACGAACTAGCAAGCTCGACATTTTTCTTCATAGAAGATTTCTTCCCTTTGCTGAAGCCTCTAGATCTGAGTGGACAAATTAAAAGGCTGAAAATGGCAAAGGAAAATTTTCCAACATTATGGAGCCCATCATTGACAACCGCCTGAAGGAAAACACCAACTCGAAGTCATATGATGAGGAGGACTTCTTGGACGTGCTGCTGGCTATGAGCTACTTTACACGTGATCAAGTCAAATATCTTCTTCTGGTTTGTGATAGATGCTGATCTGTTGCGCTCGAATAATTCATTGCATGAGGATCGTCTTTCGTTCTGAGTCGTAGAAGTTCACGTTATGTTTCAAGGTTTGAAGGGTATGTTCAGCCCACTTTCTTGTTGAAATTCATCCACATTGTCAAGTTCATCATGAGTGTAGTTAAATAATTTTTTCGGTTTGTTAGAAGAAATACTTATAGTATAGTGCAAGTTCCATGCACCCAAAAAAAAAGTGGAAAAATGAAAGTGGTAAAGATGCTCAGAATATATTTACGTGGTTGTGAATATCAATATTCTCAGTCGTTTTATTATCTTGCATTTTGAATGCACAAGATCACTGATGTTGGTGATTCTTCAATCAGGACATCATTCTTGCTGGAACTGATACCACCTCTTATACGATTGTGTGGGCTATCACTGAGCTTCTGAGGCATCCCAACTTTATGGAAAGACTTCAGAGTGAGCTCGACGATGTGATCGGTAAAGAGAGGCTGGTTGAAGAAGCCGATCTCCAGAAACTCGAATATCTGGAGGCAGTAGTGAAGGAGACACTACGGCTGCACCCAGTCGGTGTTATAGTTCCTCGCTATTCTATGGAAGCAACAAAAGTAGCAGGATATGATATTCCACCCCAATACCCGTGAAACTCTATGCCATTTGTAGAGATCCTAAGGTTTGGGAAAATCCTCTGAAGTTTGATCCTTCCAGATTCTTAAACAGCCCTGTAGATGTGAAAGGACAGTATTTTGGGGCTCTACCTTTCGGTTCTGGGCGAAGGATGTGTCCGGGCATGAATTTGGGGCTCGTCTCTGTGGCCTATAACCTCGCCCAACTGGTTCATGCTTGTTCAATCTCCCTGCCCGAAGGCTTGACTCCTCTGGACGTAGATGTTGAAGAGAAGTTTGGACTCGTCGTAGGGAAGCTGAATCCTTTGAATGTACTCATATCGAGGCGACTGCAATCAATTTCTTCAAAATTGATTTCTATCTAGTTAGTTTTCATGTATTCAATGATGTGGAATAACGTTTTTCTTATAATTCCATAACTTATAAAATGTTAAGTGTATTGACTATCTTTTAGTATATTAAGCTGATTTTTAATTTATAATGACAAAAGTACAATATTTTCATATATCATCATTTTTTCACGGAAAATCCAAATTTAACTAGCCATCAAACGCGATCGCATACCAAGGATATACTAGAAAAAAAATTGCACATGCACAGGTGACACTAGACACATGTACTTTGCGACTGCAGTCTACTAGAACAATGATATTAATTTTTTATTCATAAAAACGTCATTAAAAATTTCAAATTAGTCTTACAATATAAGAACAATCTAAGCAACTTGGATGAAGCTTACCTGAATTCATTCTCAATAATCTCCCCTTTAATCTTGTTTTGAGTACTTTAATCTTTATAATCTATATGGTTATGATAGGAAAAGTTGTAAAAAGAAACCTAACATAGAATCTTGTCTAAACCAGATTGAAAAAAATAATGATAGAGTAAAAATAAATAGTGTTAAAAAAATTCTTATAGATTATTTTTTTATACAAAATCCACAAAGTAGCACAATTTATTTCTAAATTTCCAAAAAAATTAATTTTGATCAACATATCAGTTGAATATAGTTTTCTGACAATCTGTATTAATTTTTTATACGAATATTTTTTTTCTAAGAAAATTTCATATTATGTGATGAATTTTATCTTGCTATTCATGATTTTATTTGCTATATAATATATGATATAATTATTTTTTCCCTTGAGACCCGTAACCTAAATTCGAGAGGAGCAAGCATCAAGACATCAGTCAATATGGGTTTGCTTTAGAATTGCTGGTGGAACAGAGTTTGGCGATTTAACCTGTTTCGGAGCATTCTGAACAATCAACCCTCAACATACTACTTGTGCTACTCTCTGCAATTCTTATTAATCTTTATTACTCTCCTATCCAGCAAGTTGATGATACTCCCCCGTAACTGCAGCCTACAGGATACTTTATAATTCCCTGAGAGACCTGAAAAGCAATCTGGTCGTCGGTCATGCTATGGGAGGATTGTGTAGGTTTTGCAGAAGATGAGAACAAACTGAGTATTTTAATCTTGAAAACCTCGTTGGCACGCATGCACGTGGGTTAGACCAATGAATCACCAATCGGCACATACCGGTTTCTGACCTCAACGTTACTCTTGTGGGCATCAGATACAGTAAAGTAAAGAAGCAAAAGGAGAATTAAGGATTCAAGTGAGTGAGGGTTGGCTAGAACTGCGTGTTGAAAAAGAAGAGAAAAAGGTGGGTGATTAGGATGGACTCTGCGGTCGAGGCATTTTACTGTGCGTTGTACTTATTAGCTAACGTCCCACCAAAAAATCAAAAGTATGCAGGCCAGCATCTTCACTTTCTTCGGTGGAGTTAACAATCATACGAGCAGTGGAGAACCTCGAGTACTCGTATATGTTGTAGACAGTTATTCGAGACATTGCTTAGTAAACTGAGTTTTCTAAACTCCCAACTCATCAACTTTTTGTTCAGTTTGATCTGAACTAACGAGTTGTGTAGATTAAAGTAGAATACTGTAACGATCCTCAAAGCAAGAAAAGGGTACAACAGCCTTTGTCCTCCGAGCTGACTACCCATGTGCCACTCAGTTGTCAGAATACATCCACTTGCTTGCGTGACGGCATCCAGTGTGTCAGCACATTGAAGCATTCACTCACATGTCCTGTTCGCTTGCACAAGAAAGTGAAGACTTACTCTGACCGCTTAAAACTTTTTTCCAATCACACCGAGTATGGAGGAGCACGCATCGCCCTCTCTTTCGTCGAATTCTCCGGTTCCATATTTAGGACACCTGCGAGTGAGAGCGATCTTTTCCGTTGGTCGAACCGACCTCTACCGGAGGTGACGTCACTGCGACGTTGCCCTGATTCCGGAGTCTGAAGCGACAAATTCATGCTTGGCCAAGCTTGCCACGATGCGTGTTGGATGATTGCCACGTGGAAATGTGGATAGGTAAATCCCGGCGGTTGGATCGAAATCGGAGATGCTTCAACGCTTACCCTAAATTCTAGGGATCCCCTCTACAAAGTCCTGGTTTTCTGCGACCATTTTGAGCAACTTGTTGAGTTCGAGCAGTTTCTTGTTTCTGTTTTGTTCAATCTTCCTGGTTTGCATCCGATGATTGCCGAGTTATCTTTGTGTCGCCCTCTAGCATCGCAGAAGAAATCTCACGCCCAGCTTTCTTGCGCGGTGCTAGAGAAATCTCATACCCAGCACGCACATGACGGGAAGTTGAGTTTTGTTCGAGTGAGCCGGGCTTGCTATTTGACGAGAGGGCCTGCTGCACTCCAGGTTTACTGTTTCCTGCAAGCCAACCAGCAAACGTTTCTTCCACTGTGAGGGTGGAGGAGAGAATGGAAGGTGCAGATGAGTCCATAGTCAGTCACGCTGCCGAGACACGGGGAGCGGACTCCGCAGACGAGGAACCAGAGCTTCCGTCCAATGTCCAGGAACTTTTACGGCTTCCGGAAGGCAAAGCCGAGTCATTACAGATGCTTCCTAGTTTAACGTGGGTAGACTTTCGGGATTTCTTTCAGTTGCGAGAATAGCTCTCCACGTTAGAAGGCGCACCTTGGAGGGCTGGAGGGATCAGGAGCTGAAAACCTTATGAGGTTCTGGACATAAATATCTTTTGTGGCTGAGATGGATAGACGTTCACGGTGTGAGGTAACTTCGAGAGAATTGGGGTCTAGCATCTTTCCACGTGTATCGCTCGTGTGTATCACTCGTAGAACGATGCTAGACCCGAATCCTCTTCGATTTATACTCGTGAAAAGTCTGAAATGGAACTGAGATGTGGAAATGGAGAGCTCGTGTTAACAGCTGTGGAGAATTCTGAATCCCTCGAGCCTAAGAGAATTGATGATAAGCGATTGCAGATTGACTTCCAGATGTTTCTTAAATCTCGCCTCAAGATTGCGATGAAGTTTTGATTCTAGACTCCAGTCTGTATGTTTAGATATCGGCGTGGGAGGAGTCGAGTGCGGTTAAGTATGTGGCTGACATGATCAGTGGTGCTCCTCTATTAGAATCTGTGAGGTTGCGCGGCAGTTCGATCCGAATATACCTCATGGAGGAGGAGAACTCTGGCGATTCGAACCGGATAGACATGGATGAAGAGACTGAATCATGTCCCAGAATATGATTCACAGCTCGTCTTTGAAACCAATGGATCTAGGTGAGGTGAGCGGCCTTGTTGCTGAAAGCTCTGGCCGGAGATGATGGGAACCGGTCCATTGACCGTATCGATTGACTCAAAGACTGTTTGAGGCAACTTCTTGACCCGTAGTGACCCCGCAGTGGAGCTTGTTGTCGACCTTTTGAAGTGGCCACGCAGGTATACCTATTAGATAGAGTACTGCGGAGAAATCAAATCTCTAACACATTTTTAGAGATTTGATTTAATTTGATCAAATATCTAAAAATGTGTTAGTTTATCGGTGATGGTGGATCTTGACACTTCAGTCAGCCAAAAAATTAGAACTGGAAGCATCTTGTCGATGACTGGAAATCTGGAGAAACTGTCTTGAAGAAACTGAAATTATTTGATCGAAGTGAAGATCTCTGGGAGGGAGTAAGGAAGAAAGTGCTTGAGTACTTCCTAGAGAACACAAGTCTCACTCACTTGGATATAATTGACTCCAAACTCGAAGAAGAGGCCTTCAGGGACCTGATGGAGACCCTGCAAGTGAACTTGAATTTCCAGGAAATAATTGTCACAGGCACCTCATAGCAAACGTACGGAAAGGAGGCGCTTTTTCGAGAGGCGTTCAAGTAGAACCAAAAGAGGGCCGTGTGCATGTGGATGCTCAGAGAAGCCAAATTATCATCTGGTCACGCGAAAGTTGGGTCGACTCTCCTTGTGCGGCTCTCCTCGGGCAGGTAAGGTGCCTTGTAATTTCTAAGTTTTTGTAATCTGTATTTTTCAAGTTACGAGCTGTGTTGGTTGTGATTCTATGCAGGCAAAGTTCTATTGCAAATAACCGTGATGAGGATAGTTCAAGGCAAACATTGGTTCGAAGCGAAAGGGGATGAGTTATCTAGATCTCCTCAAATAACATTTTCGTGATCTTCAATAGGTTGTTCAGTGAACTCCCAATTGTGTTTCCATTTCTCTTCCTTACATTTATAACCACCGTGGATAGTAGAAACTGCCCTCTTTAGCCATCCGAAAATTTCATGGCTTCTGGACCATAAGATTTGTTAGATGGCCAAAGAGGGCAATTTCCCATCTTCGCAGATTTCTTTCCATCGTCTTCTTCATCTTCTTTATGATTCAACTAGTGCATGAAATCAATCATAACCTATTTGAATTGCGATTGACGTGTATTAGATAACTTGAATATTCTATCAAAACTAGGTCACGTGACCCATACACAAGGAAGGACGAATTTGTAAGTGAGCGTTTTTGCTCTGTTGAAAGATGTTGCGGCGAACCTATGGACAGAGATATGTGGTCGGATCTATGCTCGAAAATATACTTATCAATCTAGATTTGTTTTCCAAGTTCGGAAATACTCTTCAGTATTTTATTCCATCCTTCATTCCTGAGTATGGAAGAACGCAAGCCTCAATAATGGGTTTGCGAATTTACAGTTTGTCTTCATCTGGAGATAATACTAGTATGGAAGAACAATGGCACTAATTGCTGCTTTTTCACTCTTCCTGAAGATTTTATAAACACACCGTGAGAAAATTGAATGTGTCAAGTTCTGATTGTAGGTCGTGTATGAATTATGGAATGTGCCTTTCTCATTAGTTAAATTCATTTCCGAATGCGCTGTATGTCTATCAAATTTTGCATCATTGTACATGTTCATGTGATGTAAGTTGATTTTGAAGATGCATCTTTTCAAGAAGAATGTGTCCTGCTATTGACGTAACTGCGACTTTACTTCATGGGCTGGAAATATAGTCGAGCAAGAAACTTCCTACAATACGTGGATGTTCTGATATTATGCTCAAAGGATGAATCAAGGGATAGAGCTCTGAAAATGGTGATATCATTTTGCATAGCATCCAAACGCTGTTCCGTGGTGAGGTTGCTTCTCGGTGTAATCTAAACACGTCGCATGAAGAAGCTGAGTTCAATTCATCTATTCTCATCGAGCTCAAATCAAATTTCAATCGTAGCATCAGTGACATGTTGAGTTTTTTCCGTCTGATAGAATGTATTTGAAGGTGGAAGAATAGGTGCCCAACCAAGAGCATTGTTAGCCCTCGATTGACGGGAGCACACACCGGTGATATTTAAAAACCCAGGGATTTACTGTGGAAGAGCGATGTGAAAGTGGTTGTGAATGAGTTGTGACAAAGCGCATTCGACAATTGTTATCAGTTCGGCATGCCTTGATCCGAATCACTACTCACGCTTATTAATTGCGTGAGCAATGAATCTGATCAACCTCACACTGAAGTGAGAATAGGTTTGACTACTCGAGTCATTCATACTAACTTGATACGTCCAATTTCGACAAGCTGGATGAAAGGTTGAAGTCAGTGGAGATCGAGGTCCAAAGTGCGGAGATGAAGGTGGGACAGATATTCACTGTCCAACAAGTACTGTCAACTTTGAATGCTTCCATGTCTGATGAAGTGGGAAGGCTCATTCAGTATTCAAATCTTATTTAACTCGAAGCTTATTCAACAAACCCGAGCTTTGGCCAACCCTTGGATCAAGTTTTTCCTCTCGCCAAATTTAATTCTACTTTTGAGATATAATATCAAATTCTCTCATATTAAATATAACTTTTGCTGGGAAGCATATGTTGATATTATTTTTGAAGATATAATTTTTCTAAAAAAAAAAAGGCTCCTTATAAATTAATCTAATCGAATAGACAGCTTGAAACTCAAAAACCTTAACATATTGCATAATATTTGCGTGGCAAGAGCAAAAGCTTTGTATTCTTTACGGTTTTCACGAAAATAACAGTCCATATTGATTTCTACCTTCCAGCTCATTCTTTCCAGTAAACTTTCTCTGTAGTCAATAATTAAAATTTACAATCGAGAATAACTTTGAGACAATTGCTGTAATAGATTTCTTGAATAAACTCGATTCCCATAATTTCAATGTTAGTACAATCAAATGTACAGTGTTTCATTCTCCAATTTTTCCCGATTTGGGGAACATTTCATCTTCATTATCCTTAAGTTAATATGGCTTTTTACCTTCCCATACTAGATCTTTCAAATAAAAAAAAAAACACTTTGGTACAGTATATAAACACTGTGCAAATATAATACATATATGTTCAGTATGCATGAAGTATAAACAATTGCCTTCTTTCTCTCTTTCGTTATCTTTGAATAATTTACCGCATGATAGAGATGCAAATAACTCAACGTCCATCCATTTCTACGGGTATTGACAACATCTACTTAATGGTACTATCATCGAAAGAAGAGTGAATTACTACTAATCATGCATATCGCAAATAATTAGTTTGAGAAAAACCCGGGGTAAAAAGTGTCTGACAAGTTCATCCAGCAGGAGAGAACTCCCAAGCAACTTCATGACCTTATGTTACGGTTATTGTTGGCGTTTTCTAAAGACGAGTGCAGTTCTGCATGCCTGGATAACCTTTCGCTTACATTTGATGTGTCACTTTCACATGGGTGACTGGTCAAGTATTAAGAAGATTTGCAGATAGGATTGGATCGGGAGAATTTCGCGTGGTTCCGAAAACTATTGAAATCCCATGCAAAGTCATGTTTTATACTGGACTCCATAAGATCCCCAATTTGTGCCAGGCGATTCCGGAGTGTGAATATTTTAAATCTAATATTGTTAAACTAGATGGCATTAGCTATCGTGATCGTAGGGCAGTTCTAAACGATGGGAAAGCAAGGAGCTGCAAGAAGTATGGCTGAGGATACAGCAAACTCTTGCTCCTATTGACTATTCGGCTATCTTCAAGTTGTATCAGGTGAAATACGTGATACTAGAATTAGGTGGGCATGTATGGATGTGCGAGGACTGCATGGATAAAGGCCTGTCATTCTGGCATTTTGACATATTAGGAATTTGAAGAGTTTAGAATGTCATTATGCAATCGACAAGCATATGTTTAGATCCTCATGCAACATGAAACTCTGCAAAATCTTCCTTAGAGTTTTTACTTGTACAAGTCTTATATAATCTATGCAATCATGTCAATCGTGCAGTTATGTATCTGAAGTAGTTCAGTATTTGGCTAAACTATCAAAATTCCACTTTGAGGACTAACTTTTTAAGTGTGTTTTGCTACAAATCTCACCGTTTTGAAATCCCTTCACTTACAAGTGGGGTGATCAGCCTTGAATTTCGATACATATACTGTATGATTGGTCTGCTATTGTTCTGAATGATAAAGGCCCAACAACTCTATAATGGACAGGCATGAAGGTTATGATATTTTATTTTTTTATAGTTGGTATTATTGTTAAACACAAGTGCAATTTTGAATACTGAAGTTGACAGCAAAGACGTGTTTTTATACCAAATACCAAATGGTTGACCACGAAAATTAAAATTTCTTGATGTTTAGTCAAAATATCTGTTTTGTTCAAAGATAGTAAAAATGTTAAGATGATCATTTTGATCAAACAAAGATATCAAATTTAATGAAAAAACTCAAAACTTTCTTTGAAAAATTTCAATTCTTGAGATACGAGAAGAAAGATAAGGTCAATTTGGATTGAAGCTAACGAATTATCTGCTTCAGAGTCTTTATTGTCAAGAAGTATATGCGAATAGAAAATAGAGGTGCATTAATTACTTACTAGATGTAAGGCAT